ATAACAAATCACATTACATTAACAATTACATTTTTAAAATTTTTTAGTATCAATAATTTTTTTACCTAAGATTACAGTCACTACAGAGCGATTATTATCACGATAAATATTGATTTGTCATATAATAAGTTTTATTTTGAGTAATTTTATTTTAAACAATGAAAGTTCATACTAGAAGGTAAACTGAATTACAAAGTGAGAAACAAAAGTTCTTTTACTTTTATTTTATTTTTGTAAAATAACAGTAAAAATTATACAAGCTATTCATTATTTTATAAAAACATAAATTTTAAATCAACAGTCATGTGATTAAATTTCTAGGAATATATAATAGGACATGCAACAATGTTCATTTTGAAAGCATAACGAATAACATTGTAACATTTGCTACAATGTTAGTTAGATAGTGAATGGGTATCGAATTTAATAATGACTGCAATTCGTGCATACGCGCAATATAATTGAACAGTTGATTTGCGACCTGTGGTTCTTTGGAGATTTTTTTTTAGATAGAATGCGATGTAGTAAAAATATTTGACCGTGAAAATTTTGTTCAGGATCAGTTTTGTGACTCACATTTTAAACAAATCATCACCAAATCGAAGATGTACTTCTCAAAGTTATGTACAAACACGAATGTCGTTTGGAATCATATACTTGAAAAATCGTACATCAAATAGGGGCTCATACACTAAAGTAGAGGCTTTAACATTCAACAGATCCATAGCAGATTCAGTCATGGGAAGAATTTTTCAACGTTTTTATGACAATTTGTTGAATTTTTTCGAGAAAAATTGAAGTATCTTTTTACAGTTTCATTCGCTACATGCTTTAAAATGAATTCTTGATGAGTTATTGTACGATTTCAAATAACACCTGCCTATATTCAGTATATCACAATATGTGTATCGCTATGTGAAACGAGCCTAATCCTTATCTGCATAGTATGTTCCCAGCTTGCGAACAGATCCTTTGATGTATTACCTTCTGACTGTTCACTGTTTGCAAATGAGCTCACTAGAACCTGCTTGTAGTTCGCTGGGTCATTGCTGGCAAATATGGCTAATATTTGCAAACTATCATGAAGCTATGGATTGGTATTGAATTCATTATCTCTTATTTATCAAATTTCATTTCGATCGACCATTAATGCCTTTCGGAAGTGTAGCTGTTAAATTATGTATTAAATATTATCTAAAATTTCGCCACTCAATTCTTGATGTATGCCTCTTCTGAAATAAGTTTGTGAAGGATACAAAAAAAAATCATGACATTTTTTTGACAGAATTTTTGTAACTTTCAACAATACAATCTATATAAAATTGTTGTTTGTACTCGTGTAGAAAGTCTTATAATTAATATAATTTAATATAATTTGAAGAATTGATATTTTATCTAATTTAATTTATTTAATCAGTTTACGTAGTATTTTATTATACTTTATTTATTGTAATTATCAATAATTAAGAAATAAGATGCAATTATTTGTTAAATAAAAAAAGAGATTTCATATTTTTGAATTAAAAGAAAATACTAATTCAAATATTGAAATAATTCAGTTATTGATAAATTTGATCACTTTCAAAAATTCTAATTTCATTATAAATATAAATTCAAATCAAGAGAAAAAGAGTGAGAGAGAGAGAAGAGATGATAATATGAAAAAAGAGAATCGGGTATGAACGTGATTTCTTATGAAAAGATAAGAAATTACATGGGATTCTGTAATTTATTCAAATTATACTGTATTTTATCCAATATTGTATATAATGTATTTGAAACTGTATTAACATTGTAATGAATAATTTAATATTCCATTATCTAATTTTAATTATCGATTATGAAAAAATTAAAATGCTGCCATAAACTAAACATTGTCGTTTGGACTTCAGGAATGTTAAATAACAAAAATTTTTTTTTTACATCATCGAAATATTCTTTTTAATATAAATATATTTTCCCTAAAATATTGGTACATTTTACAAATTTATATATTTTACAACGAATAGTATATTATTATTGTCCCATTTTATTTTATTCATTACTCGATAAACAGTATACTTTTATTATTTCATTTTATCTATTTCATAATATTTTTCATTATGTTTAGGTGCTTCATGTAGGTTGTCAAATAGATATTATATGTCAGACGTTATTGGAAACTCCATATAAAAGTAAAAAGCAATTGAAGTTTTTCATTAGCAGGCATCAAGAGATTATTATATTTACAGAGAAAATTGAGAAGCTCTTTACTTATATAGCGCTTACTCAACTTGTTGCGAATACTTTAATTACTTGCTGTTTGGGCTATCTTACAGTAATTGTAAGTACTAATAATAGTAATAATTAACATGAGAATCGTGTTTATCATATTGCAAATGGTAAATAATGCTAAATATCTAATGTGCTGTTAAACTAATTGTACAATTTGGAAAAGAGTGAATCTACATAAAAAAGTAAGTCAAAAATATAGAATAACATTTCTTATCGTTCATTGTTGAAATCTAAGCAGCAATGAATACCATAGTGAAATGAAATCATACCTAAGTGTGTATATACTTTATATACTTTCAATCTATTAAACAATGAGATTAATTAATTTAAAAACGTCATTCTAATAAATATTTATATGATCTTTTTCATGAAAAATCCTCTTTGAAATTCTAAAACTTTATATAAAAAAAGTTTAATCTGTTACAGTCATTACGTATTAATAGTGGATTTACTATGTTCGTAAAATGTGTTGTATTTTATGTGGCTTGTTGTCTGGATGCATTTGTATATTGCTTTGCTGGAGAATATCTCAGCATTAAGGTTAGTAAATATTAAATTATCAAGTTAATCTGGTTTTATAATTACCATGCATAGCATGACAAATAATGATTTATATGTAATTTGTGTTAGATGATATATTAATAAAATGACACAATTTGGTTTTAACTAATACTAATTTATTAAATATTATCTTAGAATACAATAAACTTCTCCAATATTTGCTAGTTCCAGTTTAAAACTTACTATTCATCATTACTAATTTGGTTATAAAAGGTGAAAAATTTAACAATATTTTTATAAACAAAAATAAAAAATATTCATTAGTTAATTCAATAATAGATGAAAATAAAAAATGAAAAATTGTATTTGCTAATAGAGAAACAAAATTTATAATATTTGGAGTATAATAAATTAAATATCGAGCTTGTCAATTCGCCACTCGCATTTATGCAAACAAGCTATAATGTTTAACACACCTTTATCATTTTTAGAATTGCACGTATAAAAGTGTTAATGCTTAAGATGAAAAAGTGTTTCTAAAGAATTCGAGAAATATTGCAAAATGTTAAAATCGCAATAAATGTGTTA